GCTACTTATATATAAACTATAACTCTAGAGCTTTTAAATCAGACTATAAAATAATCTAATAGATAGAGCTGCTTTTAAATAGGTACTCTGTAATTTAGTTCTAACCCTACGCAGATTACTAGAGAGAATACTAAGTTTATAGAAAAGAACCCTCTAAGAAGACCTGTAATATATTTAAAACAGTATAATTATTTAAAAACGCTCTAACAAGCTTGTACAGACATGCTAATAAAAAGAAGATAGCTATAGACAAGATAGATAACCTACACTAAGAAAAAGGTATAGTCTAGCATTACGCAGCTAGATTTAGGGAATACTAGGCGTAATGTAGATAGACTAATTAGAAAGCACTGTGTAAAATATTCTATAAAGGACTAAAGAACCTAGTAAAAAATAAGTTCTTATATAAAAAGAAACCTAAACAGCTAGTTAACTACATAAAAGTAGTAATAAAATATAATAACTGCCTTTGTAAAAAAGAACTAAAAAAGAAACATTAAGATAGACTATAGAAGACACAGTTTACTTATAAGATAAAAAGAAATAACATTATATAAAGAACCTATAGATCTTAGTAAGGTAAAAGCTATAAAAAAAATTTAAGCATAAAAAAAGAGAAAAAACTTTTTTTATTAACAAAATAAAAAGAGTAGCTTAAAAAAAAGGCCTGTCTAAATTATAGAAAAGTAGAACACTTCTATTAAAAATGCCTAGACTCTAAAATCCTAGAGAATAAAGGTTTAAGACTAGTAATAAAAGCTATAAGCATAGAAAAAGGTCTAACTATAAGAGAAATCTGCAACAGACTTAAGAAGAGACTTTATTAAAAATATAGAGTAAACTATAAACTAACAAATTACTTTAAAAGTTATTAGAAGGTAGAAATCTAAGATAGCTATAATGTTAATTTAGCGCTAGAAAAAGCTGCAGTTTATAAAGAACTACATAAATTAGCATAAGTTGTAAACTACATAGAAAATGTATAAAAAGAAAAGAAAAAGTTTCTACTTACACTACTAATAACAGAAGTACTAGTAGAAAAGCTTGCACATTAATTCTAGACTAGCTAGTGCTAGAAGTGAAGAGCTAATTATAAGCACTAGTATTACAGAATACTATACTAAGAAGTACTTATTAATAATAGTGTAAAAACCTACTAAGTAATATTAAATATTACTAGGGCACACTACAGCATTCTAAATAAAAAAGATTAATAGATGTTCTTCTAAAAGATTCTTTAGTAAGGGGAAGGCTCTAGGTGGCTCTCTATACTATTATAGACGCTAGAACTATGCTATAAGAGGTCTAAAACTCTACCCCTAGCATTAGCAGTAACTAGAAAAAAGTTAGAAGTAAGATAACTTAATTAATACTGTATTTTATACAGAAGTAAGTAACATAAAGAGTTATAATGCTGCTATAAGAAGCACTTGCTATAAATTATACAAACTAAGGAATACCTAAGATAGACAAAAGTATAACTAGTACTAGTCTATATAAACCTAAAAGAGTGCCTGTTCCCTTAGTACCTATGTTTAAATAGGTACTATGTTAAGCATTAGCCTACTAAGCATTAGGCTAGGTAGTAGCTAAAGATGTAGAAAGTATATAAAAATAAAAATAACACCTTACATAAAGAACTAATAAAAAGTAAAATACTAAACTGTCTTTCCTACAGCTCTAGACTAGATTACAAACAACTTTAATAAATAAAATGTAAAAAATGTAGAGATTACATCTTCTATTATTTTTAGTAAAAAGCACACTAGGTAAATAACTAACTCTTATAACACTACAGAGTAGAAAACTAATAATGTATAATAGAAGATTACATAGTTAAAGAACACTAGAAATATAAGCTCTAGATAGACTAAATATAAGAACAAAAAACTATTATAGAAAATGCTAAACTAGATAAAACCTTAGACTATAATGTTATATACTATAACGTAAAGGCGCTAGTAGTAGTTAAGCAAGGAATTAGCTAAAGCCTTATAATAGAATTTACGCTAGAAGGATGCTAAAAAACAGCTTTAATTAACAGCAAGTGCACATTTACTACTATAGACTTCTAATGGGTAGACTATTAAAACATACTATATAGAGTAAAAGATTAACTTTTTAAAGTCTCTCTTACAGACGCATCTTTAATTAAATTTAGAGGGGGATATATTTACCTTAAAATAATAGAACTTAACCTTAAAACAAAGGATATCTATAACTAGAGGTCTCTTAGTATACTACTACTAGGAGGTAAATACTAAGCTATACTAGGCTATAACTAGCTATGTAAGCATAATTCTAAGATTAACTAGAGAAACATAACTATCTAGACTCCTAAGCAACACGCTACTATAACCTAGTTAGCGTGCTATAAGGACACCTGTCTAGCACATAAACAGGTGAAGCAAGGAGCTAGCTAGTATCCTAGAAAATAGAAGCTAAAAAGGTTCTCTTACTCAAAGCCTAAAGCTAAAGTAATTTAAATAATAAAGAAAAAACTTAAGAAAACTACACTTAAGAAAATGCTTACTAATAAGAAAGTAAAATAAGCTAGAATGTACTAATTAGCACAGCAAGTAGAGTACATAATTCCTAAAGAATATAATAACTTTTATTATAAAGTAGCAATGCTACTTAGTCTATGTAATAATAAACTAAACTTTAATTATAACCTTTCTATAATAGTTAAGATTCTAACTATATACTTAGAGTTGCGCATTATTAAGCGCTGTTAAGCGCTCTCTAACAGCAGTTCTGTACTGCGCGCAATGACGCTTAATTGCGCTTAAACGTCCTTTGCCTATTAGACAACGCACTCGGCTGTGCATCAGTCTAGTAGCTCTGTCCATTCCTTGTCTGTTAGGTCACGTGACTTAACAGGTGGGGTGACAAGGGGATTCCAGCCTCGTTCGTTCAAACAGTGGGGCACAGTAGGTTGGTAGCTTACAGTCTAATCGTAGGTTGTAACAGTTAGTCTATAATTAATGCTTACTATTATTTAAAAGTTAAGTTTTTTCTATTAGTAATGTAGGTTTAGAAGGGCTTTAAATTGCTTAAAATTTTTTATAAAAAGAGTTATAATAGTTTTTTAGCGTATTATTAATGCTAATTTAGTAGTTTTTAAAAGTTACTTAGAACTAACAGTTCTTAGTTTAGTTAAACGTATAATTTCTACTTATAAATATACAATTTATTCTTTATAAATTAGTTTATTCTAATTAGACTTTAAGTTATTTAAGTTTTTTACTTTAGATTTTATAAAGGCAAGTTTGCCTAATGTAAGTAGTAGTTATTTAATATATATAGCTAATCGCTTGCTCTTTCTACCGCTTATACATGTGCTAGTTTTAGCAATAGAATTAGATAGTTATTAATAGTTAAACTTTAGTAGTTAACTTTAATTTTAATAAGTTATTAGTAGTTTTAAAGTTTCTACTTTCATGCACTTTTATATATAATTTTTGAAAAGCAATTCTTATTATAGTAGATAAAAACTTTTAAACTTAAAAGCTTTCCTTAATAAAAGGTCTTTAAAATTCTATTTAAATAACTAAGTAAGTTAATATAATAGTATATAAGTATTGTAACTTAAATTAAATTAGACGCCTCTTAGGCTTAAATATAGTTAAAATAAATAAATAATATAATATTATTAAAAAGCTATTCCTAGCAAAAGTAAGTTTTTTTATATAGTGTAATAGTGTAGGCAAGATAATAGATCTAAATAAGGTAGAAATCTACTTAAAGGCGTATAAAAGTACGTAGAGACTTAGATTCTAGAAATTATATTAACGCATATAGGCTTGTATAAAAAGATAAAAGAAAACTAACAGGCTAGCTATAAGCAAAGGTGCGACTATGTACTAATAGGAAAAGGGGCAGAGCTGGGGTAGCTTACAATAAGCGAAACGCTTTAGGATAAGGCTTCATCACGTTGTTACAAAGCTACGTCTTCGCTTTTAAAGCTTTTTACTTATAATATTTTATACTCTCTATTCTAGCTCTCTCTTTACTAAAATAGATAGAGGCTGCTAGTTGTCTCTTTTCTAACTAGAGGATTTCACTTGACACAAACTTCGGTGAAGTCCGGCGATGTTTAGGCATCAGTGAGGGCTGCACTGGAAGCGTTCTGAGCCGGCCGATCTCCAAGCTGGTAGTGATGTGTCCCTCGGCATGGCCTTCCGGCTTTATTCGGACACAGGCAAGGATCTAGCCCAAGGTCTGCTTGTAGCGAGGTAGTACTGTAGAATACGAGAAGCTTACCGTCGTTCGCAACATGGTGTTTACAAATTATCTGCGAGATAAATGATAGAATCTGCTACCTTATTGCTGTGGAGGAGAGAGAGAGACGAAATGTCCAAGACCGAACGTGATATCCTATGAGGCTCAACCTCTGAGACCCAATTTGTAAAACACTCTCCCGTCAGCGGCCATCGCCAGCCGTCCACTCCATCTATCCATCTTTAGCGTTATCATTATTCAACATCAGGAGCTACTTCCTATGCCAAGTAAAAAAATTTTACCCCGGCAGCCCTCCACCACTCCAATCGATTTCTGTATGACCAAGCACTGGGGCTTTGTGTTCAAATTGCAAGGCTCATCCAGTCAAAATGTCCCACAAGCGAATGGCGCAGGGCTGAGGCGCCACATTACCTTCCCACTCGACGGAAAAGTAGCGCAAGCATGATGGTATGATCGTCTCAAATATGAATAACAGCGTATCCTGGTTTTCGATTGCCTCGTGGAGTGATAGCTGGGAATTCACCCTGCTACTCCCTCTGGCTTTGCACCAGTCTGCCGGAGTTGGAAACTGCTGGAGAGATTCGAGCGATGGTTGGACGCTTGGGAAGTGAGCAATGCAGAGCACAGCCGCAAGTGGTTTGTCAATCACCTTACCAAGATTCAACGAGCTAATATTTTAATCCAGACTTACTCTTATGTTAGGAATATATCCTGGACACAACAGCGAACACCAATGACTCTCAAATATCGCACAAATGAAGGAACAATTCACAGTCATGATACCACTTATGCTTTGCCTCATCGGTCTGACCAAAGCCGGCTTATTTAAGCCCACACCCACAACCGAGGATCTAACCACTATCGAGATCCGAAAACGCGTTGCACGAGCCACGATTCCATCCTGTACATGGGAAGGTCATTGCCTTGGAGATTCATGCGTCCGGGATGATGACTGCGATCACGGGTGGGTTTGCGTTCGCGGCATATGTGCGCTGAATTCGGGAGGGGATACGACAATGCCGACCATCAAACCATCCTCGCCATTTCCAACGGCAACAGTTATCACGCTCGTCACTTCGGTGGTCACTGAATCTCGTGCGGACCCAAATGCGAGTTCGTCTGCTAGCTTAAATGAAGCAAAATCTGTAGCCACGAGTACAGAATGTAAGTGATCCCGACTTGTCGCCCCATGATCATCGAGTTGAACGGCCAACAGCAATATCGTTGAAAACGGCCTCCCCAAACCCTATAAAGCACGGTCTCTCAGAAGAGGCGAAGATTGGCATCGGTATTGGAATCCCCATCCTCGCTATCATTGTTATCTCACTTCTCATCTGTACCCTGCTCTACCAGCGGAAGCTTCGCAAGGTCAGCGCCAGGGAAGACATAGACGCTGGTCCTGAAGCAAGACATTCGGATCCAAAGCAGGATAGGGTGCAATATGTAAGAGAGCCATATAAGTATCAGATGGTGGAGAATGGTTCTCGAGAATATGGACATGTTCATGCTGCGGAGCTAGAGGCGGATCTGAGAGAAGAAAGACCAGCGGAATTGCCAGAGAGAGCATAAAGATGGTAGGTTGTATAACACCGCCTGTGGAAGACTTAGATAAAACAGGGTAGATAGTCAAATGGAGATGTTTCTAATGGGGGTTTCCGATTCCAAAAGTGTGCAGAAAGATTTGGTAAATTATTTGCTGATACGACACGCAGCTGCTCTAGATTTGGAAGTCCTGCGCAGTCATCCGCCAAGTCCTTGATAAGAACAGCACCTTCATCTGACCAGAGAATCGGATCTGTCAGGAGTGTCAGCTGTTTAAGTGTCCGTGGAAGCATCGCGCTGATTCGCAGGTTGGCTCAAATTAACGCTGAAACTAAAGGTACTGAAAGGTTCCCAGGTTCGTTCACTTCCGGGGTTTTCAAAAGAATCTTGGTCTCTAAAGAGTGTCGCATTGCAGACCGTGAGACGTTGGAGGGCCGAGAAACCTTCGAAGCTAGTTATAGCATGACTTGGCACAGCCTTGGAGAGATCGATTGGTTTGACCATACGGATGTCAATATATATTGATTCCAGTGTCTGTCGATGTTGAAGTAAGCTATTTTGGATATTTCCCATCTGGAATGCGTTCTCGTTGACAAAGATGTCCGCGTAATGGAGGGCGAAGTGCCGGAGGGATTGGCAAGCTTTGGCAAGATCGCTGACCTGGCGCAATTCCATGGTGCAGTGTGACAGATACAACGTCTCTAATGACAGTGAGCCAGATGTAAGGCTTAGGGATGATTTTTTGCACATCATTCCACAAGTATGAAGATACGTTAGGGCCGGTAAGTGTCGCAGGTGCTCTATGAGTTGCGCGAACCACTCCCCACCACCAATCCAGTAACTCCGTTGGTCCAGGGCGATAAATAGAGTGCGTAGCTTCGAGAACCGACGAGGTATAAGAGGCCCGTCCTGGACCTCGAAACCGACAAAGTCCCATATCGATGGGGGGAAGGACTCGTAGCTGGCAAGGTGGAGGTGATTCAGATTAGGAGAAATAGCAATCAAAGGGTTAGCTCGCCTCCATCTGGATTCTCCTCGAAGAACTTGCGCCAAGATGTTTCACCTGTAAAGAATGGGGCTGTCCACAGTCTCGAGGCAGCTGCGAGGAAAGTATCGCGGTTCTGTTGAGCCTTCAACCGCCACACATGATATGCATCATCGTCCTGCCATTCGGATACGTCTTCGACCCGGTTTTCGATACACCGGATGCGCTTGGCAAGATGGGGTTTATCAAGAAGCGTGCGGAGGAGCAGCGATGTCGGGCAGCATTCGAGTCTCTCGGTGAAGTGGAGGATGATAGAAGAATACAACACCGGAGTTACAATTCGCGATATGCGACGCGAGGTAAGGCAAAGCAGCGAAAGTGTTACCCTTCGAGTGCAGTTCTCGTAATATCGATTATCCTCCCAATCGTGGGTGATGGGATAGTCGATTGTAATTGCGAATTTGCGGATTGGGAGGAGCTTGAGCGCGATTTCATGGATCATCTCGTCCAGAAGGTCTTCCAGACTTCGCGAGATGCTGGGGGTTGCCATTATGTTTGTCGTTGAAGTTTGCTCGTGCCGTCGTGGCGGGTGAACGGAGGTGATAGAAGGGTGAGGTGACGATAGAGATGTTTATCATGATTTGTTAGGACAATAAATCAGCGTTTTTCTCTTAGCGCGCATCGCGTAATTTCCTTACCGCTTAGTTTTCCTGCTTAAATCTCCAATTTTTGTAAATTTAACTATAACACATTAGTATCTACACCTACACTTATAATTAACTTTAAGTAAGTTAAGGCTGTAGTTGCTTATATAAAAGGCTTCTCTAAACTGTTTACAGAATACGTAAATTTAACAACATTTCTAACTACAAAAGAAATTCTATAAAAGCATGTAAAATAACGTGTTTTATCAGTAAGCTGCGGACATCAGTAAGCTGCGCACCCCACCAAACCGCGCGAAACCGCGTCCACACCTTTAACCATAGCTTAACAACCACAAGCTTAATCTCTAGCAAAAGAAGGTAGACTTTAGCTTACTCTTGTTTTAATTAAGTCTAACTTTGATCTATTAATTTATGCAGCTGCTGCAGCCTATAACATACTAGAATCCACCCTCTAAACGCGCCTCTGTGGTATCCTTCTAAAACGCAAGACAATCTTAGTTAACTGTAAACTATTGCCTATTAAAAAGCAGTTACTTGTCTCCTAGATCCTAGATCTTAACTAACATAGCTTTCTACTCTATATTATTAACATGTGTTAAATAGTAAACATTTTGCTTTAACCTTGTTACTAAGATCCTCTACTAACACTTATAAGCAAGTGCTAGGTATTGCGCTTTGTTAACAGCTAGGTAGAGCTTTAGACAAAGTAGGACAGAAAGATACACTTCTAGCACGCTCTCTATTAGGATCTAGTTAAGTTTAGAGCTTAGTTTAAGCTAGTAGAGGACACACATTAGATGTATAAAATACTAAATAAGGATAACGTACCTAACAGGTTAGCCGGCCACACGGGTTAGCTGGCCACTTTTGCTAAGCCCCTACTAAAACTACCCTATTCTAGCGCAAAACAGCCTACTTTAGCCCTATATAAAGTAATACAACATAAGATATTATTTAAAGTCTACTTCTACTACTTACTTATATATATATAAGTTATGCTTAGTTTAATTACACTACTTATATTACTTTTAACTTAGCTTACTTTTTTTAGTGTGCACTTATATCTGTAGCTTCTTTTTATTACTACGCGCTTTAAACTTTTTTAAAGTAGTTAAATAAGCTTTATTTTTAACTATTAAAGTTTTTTTTACTTAAATTTACTTTTTTTTATGTAATGTATATTATATAGTAGCCTTATTTACTGCTTAAAGCTTTATAATCTTCTTTTATACTAACACTAGCTTATGTATAATAATTACTACTCTTTTTAAACCCTTTTTAAAGGCCTTTACTATAAATGTTAGTAAGCTATTTATATGCTTTTAAATTCTTACTTTTATAAGCATTAATTATAACTTAAATTTAAAAGTATTACTTAAAGTTTACAACTACTAGAGCTTATTATTAAGAAGTAGTAGTAGTAATAAAGTACATAACTAAACATTAAAAGCTATTTTAACTTATTTTAAGTTAAATAAAACTAAACTAGCACTTTAAAACTCTTTTTATATATTACTAAAAGTAATTACTACATTATAGGCGTGTATAAAGCATAGTAGAAACTTAAGTTTTATAATATAAATAATCTAGTTATGTATAAGATCTTTAGCTTAGCACTTATACACTTTTTTTAAAGGGGTAAAACAACTTACATTAAGAGGCTATAAAAAGTGTAATAAGTAGAAAAGTATATAAATAGTAATAATTTTATTTTTTTTATAGTACTACTAAAAATTAAGTAAGTTATAGCTTTTATAGCTATTAATAATAAAAAGCTAATAAGCGCTTATAACTTTTTGTATATACTTATTAAAGTGCTTTAACTACTATAGCTTAAGCTTATTTATTATTTAGCTATTTTTAAAGACTATAATAACTTAGTTTTAAAGTAGATTTTTTTTAATACTAAGTAAAAATGTAATAGTTAGCAGCTTTTAAAGATAATAAAAAGTAAAATAGCTTACTTTATTTTATTAATGCCTTAAATAACTATTATCTACTTTTTATTATCTTACTATATTACTTTTAGCTATTTTTATTTCTTTAAAGCTATAATAACTACTTTAGTTAATATTTAGCTTATTATAAAGCTTAACTTATTAAAGTTATATGTATCTTTATTTTAAATACTATACTTAGCTTTTATATTAGCTACTAGGCAAAACTAGCCTTAAATAACTTCTAGATTTTTATAAAGTGCTTTTTTATAATTATACTTATAATTAAACTTTATTATAAACTTAAGGTAGTGCTTAACTTATATACTAGGCTAGTTTAAGCTAACCTAGCCTAGATTACACTTTATGTGTAAGAAATTAGCTATATTAGCTATAGCTATAAGCCTAAAAGGAAATCTGTGTGTAATAAGCTTAAGTATATACTTAATAACTACTTTTTTTTAAGCTTAGTTACATTTCTTAATTTAAGCTAGCATTTTACTTATAAAAGCTATCTAGCGCGTTAATTACTTAGTGTTATGTAAAAACTATTATAGATAGCTGTAGTATGTTATAAAATAAGTTTTAAGTCTTATTTAAAAGCCTAAAAAGTAAGCTGTATCTAATGTTCTTTAGAAGATTTAATCTAGTGTTATTGTTAAGGCATTATGTAGATAGGTAGAGTTTAGTAGGGGCTTAGCAAAAGTGGCCAGCTAACCTATGTGGCTGGCTAACCTGTTAGGTACGTTACTTATAATTTTAATAAAATTAATTTTATAATAGAGGTTACTAGCATGTCTAAGGTTGTTACTAGCTTTAAGACTGTTAGTTAAGCAGTTACTGTACAGCCTAGTAATTATAACTAGGTTACTATAATTAAGTGTATTAACATATCTAGCTAGTTGCTCTTACTACTTATTATTTTACATAGAAAGCTCTACTAAGCTAGCTAGTATTATTGTCAGATTGAAGCACTGTTTCTAGGCTTCCTGAGATGAATGATGGGTTTGGATATGATGTATGGGATGATGATTGATTGTGTTGATTTATCAATCCTTTTTCTGCTCTACTCGTGTTGCTCGGCTTTTTGTTTTGCCGATCCGAGTCCCTCGCGCACTTGCCCTATGCGCGACCAGCTTGCAAAATGCTGCAACATGCTGCAACATGCTGCAACATGCTGCAAAATGCTGCAACATGCTGCAAAATGCTGCAACATGCTGCAAAATGCTGCAACATGCTGCAAAATGCTGCAATTTGCTGCAACATGCTGCAATTTGCAGCAACATACTGTTCGAGCTTATTGCTCGTACTATGTAGCAGCTTTCGTCAAACGTTCCTCCTGTCTTGACAGTAGGTGCGCATATCTGACACTTATAATATCCCTAGCAACTAAACACTTGCAGTAAGTAATAATAGCTAGATAACTAACTACCTTAGCCTAGCCTAACTTAAGCACTTTAATAAGTAGATAAAGACATGTACAGCAGGAATCTATTACCTGCTTATTGTCAGATTGAAGCACTGTTTCTAGGCTTCCTGAGATGAATGATGGGTTTGGATATGATGTATGGGATGATGATTTATTGTATTGATTTATCAATCCTTTTTCTCTACTCGTGTTGCTCGGCTTTTTGTTTTGCCGATCCGAGTCCCTCGCGCACTTGCCCTATGCGCGACCAGCTTGCAACATGCTGCAAAATGCTGCAACATGCTGCAAAATGCTGCAAAATGCTGCAACATGCAGCAATTTGCAGCAACATACTGTTCGAGCTTATTGCTCGTACTATGTAGCAGCTTTCGTCAAACGTTCCTCCTGTCTTGACAGTAGGTGCGCATATCTGACACTTATAGTAGATAGCTACAGCAGCTATGCAACACCTAAGTTTAATTAGTACTGTATAAAGAACAAGATTATTAGTTTCTATATGCTAGCTTATAGCTCCTTGTTACAATCCTTGCTTGGTGGAAGCACGCGGGTCAATGTTATTCCTAGTGAAGGAGGACGGGGTGAGAGGGGCTGACGGTAGGGTGTACAGTCCTACGTAATAGCTATTAGGCTTATGGAGAAGAGTAGGGTGACTGGATTGTAGTTTGTCCCTATGGCAGCAGTATAGTGGCCAGGTTAAACAGTCCTGTTAGACAGAATTAGAGGTATATATAGTGCAAGATATACAGATAGTATTACAGCTCTTTAGAAAGCTAGAATGCTACTTAGTCTATGTAAAAATAAACTAAACATTAAACACGCCTTTTAAAGGTTATTTAAAGTTAGAACTATATACATGTCTAGAGGGTGCTAAGGTAAGTTAGATAAGTTTATGTAAGCTTGCTAAGCGTAGCTCTATAAACTCTTTTAGACTTATTAGACTTATAGCCTTTCTTTTTATTAGATAATGCATTCTTCTATAACTATAGGCAGCTGCGCTGCTTCTGTGTCCTCTAATTAGTTTATAGGCAAGCCCTGCCCTGCGCTAGCTAGATTGTGGAGCACTGCTAGTAGAGTTATGTTAGTCTAACTGTAGACTGTAACACGCTGCCCCTCCTCCCTAGCAGCGTTCTTACCGCTCTGCTTATATAACTGCGTTAGTAAAAGTTTATTTATAAAGTAAGTGTCTACTTACTAGAAGGCATTTTTTATAGTTATTTTTTTTATACTAAATAGCTTATTAGTCCTGCTTCTTTTGTTATCTTTATGCTATTCCCTATTTTAATTCTCTTTGTTAGACAAAGATGTAACTCTATAGCGGTTACTAATTATCTAAGTTATTTTACATGTTAACCTTATTATTAAATAAGTACATAAAGTGTGTAAAAAAAATAGTAGGTATAACACTTTTATTTCTAACACTATATAAGACTAGTTAAAGAGAGAGAGAAAAAAGCTTCTTTATAATACTACTACAGTAAAGGCTTAAAAGTAGAAGCTTAATAAAAAAATAACTTATTACTTTTAAAAGTTAGTAGAGGTAAAGGCTAAAAAGCGTTCTAAATAAAATTATATTTAAAAATTACTAAATCTATTAAAAGCTTAACGTG